TGAAAGCGTCCAGCACCTCGTGTCTGCTCCTCCCCGGGGCCGCCTGCGTACCGGGGCCGGTGGCACCCAGGTGATCGTAGCCGGCCCCCTCCTCCAGAGCCCATATGACCTCCTTGCGCTGTGGCCTGGTGACCGTGTCCGTGAGCGCCTCTTCCAATGAGCTCTTCTTGGACTTGAGGCGATGGAGCTCGTCTATCTTCAGCAACCCGAAGGTCTTGGAAAACCATTTGAGGGTGTTCCACACCTGCCGTAACTTGCACGGGGTGACCTCCTCTTCGGCGAGCTGGTTAAGGGGAGAGCGGACATGTCGTTCCTGCCATGGAATCACTGTGAAGCCTCTCTTCCGGAGACTCTCGTAGACCAGGCAATGTTGCCTGAGTGTCCGGAACCTACTGCCTCCTTGCGGAAGTCCTCCCCCAGGATGTCGATGTGCTCCGCAAACGGGGCGAAGTGGGCAAGGAGCCGTTCCGCCCATTTCCCGCGCATATGGAGTTCCAGCGCTCGCTGGGTCGTGGGCTCCATTTCCCTTAAAGTGCCCGGGCGCCAGTGCCTCCACTTCAGAAGCTCCGGTTGTTGGAGTGGGGGTGGGTCATCTCGTGAGAACCACCTCAGTTGGTCCTGGCGGTCCCATTCATTCTCCAGCGGGGAAAAGTTCTCACTCGGCTTGCCATCCGCAGTCGCCATGAGGAGGAACCATAGGCTATCCCATAGGTCGGCCAGGTCCGCCGCGGACAGAGGCTGGGGAAGCCTGCCCGCCGCCGACGCCACCAGGCCGTTGAAGTAGTCCGTCGGGACCACTTGGTCGTCTTGCCCTACCGGAATGCCCGAGAGTTCCAGGAGCTGGGCGAAGCGGATTGCCGGCTCCCCGCCCAGCTTCCTCCCCTCCTCCTCCGTGCCATGGCGCTCCCCGTCCGTCTGTCTCGGGGAGAAGGACTCATCCGCCAATGTGTCCCATAGGACCCTTGGAATGCGGTCCCAAAGACGTGTGTAAGGCGGGCGCAAAAGAAACTTGGTAGAAACCCTAGCCATGAGGAAAAAGGGGGGTTCGAGCCTCCTATCGAACGGCCGGGACCCAACCGCGGCACAGTGCATGCATGTTCCAAACGCGCGGAATGCCGAGTGCAGATGGAGCAGGCAGGCCATACGCAACCCGACAGGACCAAAAATCAACCCCCGAAATCCCCAAAAACACGGAGGGGGGAGACCAACCAGGCGGGGGATTCCCCAAAACCCCAAGGGGACCTCAAGGAAAACAAGAGTCAGCCGCAGCCACTTTTTCCGAACCGTGGCTGATATGGCCCGTCCTTGGGGCAGCCAATGCATGTGGCCTCCTGGTCGAGGCAATCAGGCTGTCGTGACGTGTTGAACAGGGGGGAAACAACGGTGAAAGATGAACCCAAAAGGAGACACCTCTTACTCCTCCCCCCACCAGAGACGGGGCCAAAGGCACCCAAGTCCCGGCGGGAAGAGGTCACACGACTCCACATCCAAAAGGGCCGTGAGACAAGCCTCCTTTGCCACCGAGTGGATGGCCGCCAGCCCTGACTTCTCCGGGTTGCTCAAAATGACCGACCACAAGGCAGTGGAGACATCTCCCAGGCCATTCGAGGAGCTGAAGCGCATGCGGGGGGTGCTCGCGTCGCCCAGGACCAGCCGCTCGTCCCTGGGAGGCTCCGTCGGCTCCACCCTCTTGTAGAACTCCATCCTGTCACGGATCCACTGATTGTATAGCTGCTCCGGGGGCTCGTCCATCACCAGCTGCAAGCACGTGGCCTTGTCTTTGTGCCATGCTGGTCAGCGCCCCGGGGGATCTCACCGCTTGCGTGCTTCTTCCAAATCCCCCCAAACATCCGGAGCTCTCCCTGGTGCCTCTTCATCGCCCAGAGGATCAAGGACAGCTTGCCCTCCTCCGAGTCCAGGTCTTGCTGTGACACTGGTCCCCCACGAAACCAGTGACACCCTTGGGGGGGGCCGGTGCCACCAGATCGGGCATCTCCTCCAGCAGCGCCTCCTCATCCCATGGGTTCTGCGACGCTCTGAGCATCCTGATGTAGGGGACATACTTCTCCTTGATGTCTCCCACCTGGGGGATGTCCTCGGGGTCATCCAGCTCCAGGGGGCAGAATAGCCCCCTCTCCAGGGCCTGCCTGACATCATCCGGCCACGCCGACACTTCCAAGGGCTTGAGAGTGTGGTTGAGCATCCATGCCTGGTTGGTGTCCTGTGCGCTTGTTCGCCGCCTGAGCCTCCTGAATGGAGCCCATCGCCTCAGCCAATGCCTGGCTGGCGTCAACGCCCTTCCCCTCCAGGTACTGGTCTCTCAGCTTGGCCTTGAACCGCTCCAGGTTGACCTTCCTGAGGGCACGGGCTCCCTCATTGGCCACCTCCTCTGACGGCAGGGCCTGCATGCCCTCCTGGAGAGGCGCCAGGATAGCCATCTCATTGTCCAGCATCTTCTCAGTGACCAACTCCTTGTGCCGCCGCCTGGCCGAGGACTCCTCCGGGGTCGGTTCCCGATGCTCCCTCAAGGCCTTATGCAGCTCCTCCTTCTTCCGGATCGCCTGGTCCACCTGGGGCTCCGCCTCCTTCAGGGACCGCCGCTGCACCTTGACCTTGATCTCCTGGCATTCCCGGACCTTCAACGCCTCGTCGTCCGCCTCCATGGACAGGATCTCCTGCCGGATGTCCACCCGCCTGTTAAGCGGGACCGCGTCTGCCATGGTGATCTCCTCTGCCGTGTCCGTTTTCGGAGGAGCTCTCCCCAGGACCGTGCCGTCCACCAAGTTGCGGTCGGCCTGTGCCCGGGTACCACCGGGGCCAGCGGCACCCAGGCTTCCCCCTTCCCGCTGCTGGATCCAGGTCGGCTTGCCCTCCACTTGCCTGGGCAGACCCAGCACTGCTTGGCTGCCTCCGGCCACCCCGTGCCGCATGCCTTGCACATGAACTTGTAATCGGAATGGCCTGCATCGAGCCTGTGCATTCGCTGGGTGCCAATGCACGCCTTGTTCCTCTGGAACTGCGAGGCCCAGACCTCCTCCTGCCGGATCTGGATCTTCATCGGGACATAAGCCTCCAGGATACGAATCACCAGGTCCTCCGTGAGATTCTTCCCGACAAACTTGTGGAACAGGGAGACCGCCTCCTCCACCGTGACGTCCCTCAGCAAAGTGGCCGCCGATGCCGGAAGGACCGGGAAGAGGTCTGGGAGGTCCACCAGCTTGAAGTAACCGGGTCGGCCCTCAACCGGCACCAAGGAGACCGGTTTGTTCACATGAGCCGTGGTCTTCTGGGAAGCCGCCACGAAACCCCTCAGCCTCTTCGTGGGTGGCGTCTGTGCCTCCTCCGGTGGCGTGGCCCGCTCCGTGACGTCCGCGTCTTCCATGTCCTTGTCATCCTCCTCGGCGGGGCCAGGGGCACCCAAGCCGGAAGTCGGCGTGGCAAATGCCACACGGAGACGCTCCAGTGCACTGGAGAGGTCCTTCATCACATCGGTAGCCGAAGCCGACGGGGGGGCCTCGGGCTCGTCCAAAACCAGGCCGGCCGCCACTGCCGCCTCGCGTGTGCGAATTTCCTGGGCCTCCTGGTTGGCCATTTCAACCTCCTCCACGGTGAGTGTCTGGTCCTCAATCAGCTCAAGGGAGGTGGCCGAGGTTGCCGAGGAAGCCATTGCTTGATCGGGGTTAGGTTCGAAAGTGTCAAAGCTCAAATTTTTCACACAAATTGGGTTCCAAGAACCCAGGGCAAAGCTTGAGCCAAAATGGCACATGCCATTATGGTCAAGCATTTCAAACACAGTTCATGTTTCCACATGCGTTTCAACATTAACAAAAAAGTATCACAAAAGGATGCAACTACTCGGGTCTACTGACTTTCGATGCTATGTCTAAACATTCTGATGGACATGTGCTGAAACGGGCGTCACTGGCACTAACTCTGGGAGGGAACCGGGCCACTTGCAATGAGCGCACACGTGAGAGTGTCTGGCTGCCTATCAAAGAGGCCTGTCTCGCAAAATTCGAGGGCCCCTTTGGTTCCTCCGGCGAGCGGCTTTCCAAGTTGGGGCGCTGCCACCGCTTCGACGGGTAGTCATATTGGCAGCATATCTCACAAGTCAAAACAAGGGGCAAACAGAACCACTCATCATGTTTTTCACAGCCTTCTCCATGAACTACATCACTCACTCAAATTTGCAGGCATACGACAAAATGGGCTGATCCCCGTGGTGTGCGCAACTGATCAGGGACCAAGAATACACTCTTGCCAGCTTGGAGATGCTCAACGGAAAGCCGACATGCAAGCTTTGGAATGATGGCATGGTCCAAGTCAAATGACTGGCCAGGAAGCCGTTTGAATTTGGCTGGATTGGGCTTGGCAAGGGCATGACATGGCGCAACACCTGAAACGCCTTTCGGTTGGTTTCATGGCGGTTTTTCTTCTAGCCACAAGGCCTTCCCCTCTTCTAATTAATATGTGTTCATGCCTTACTCCCACTCCCACTGTTTGAATAGATGTGTTTCCTGTACAACTTTAGCTGCTAGGAAGCCCATTGGCGCTCATACAGGAACAAAGCAAACGTTTCTTAAAGCTATATCCATATAACATCATGTAGAGGAACAGGCTTGCAACACGTGGATGCTTTCAACAGGACAATTGTCGCTGGGCGGTATAATATAGGAGGCGGGGTCTGCACAAACTAACCAGTTCTCCATCCCCTTGTGGTATGATTTAGGTTATGCCCAAAAAAGTATGATACATACGGGATATTCAGCATTCTCGCAACAGGCTGACTTGGTGTTGAATAAGAAGTCTGAGAAAAACAACAATAATCGATAGTTTCCCGTTGGGAAACTCAACCATCATCTGGGCTATTCAGCACCACAACAATGCCGCTTTTGGTTTCCACCCAGTTGATACTTAACTGGAGACACCCGCAAAAAAAACCCAAACCCAACCATCAACCCCAATTCAACCAACCGACACCCTCCAAACTGCAAAGGCGCCTTTGGGCTCCTGGATCATTTTGTCCATGCCCTTGGGCCCCAAGGACGTCCTGCGGAGTCACAAGCATCTGTTTCCCGAGGATCCTAGACACCATTTGCAGTACCCTTCCTCCCACAAACGTAGCAGCAGGAGGGCAGCTGGAAGATCAACTTCCTCTTGGAGTGAGCCAAAAAAGGGTCAGGGGACCCGGTGGGTTGGATCCTATGAGAGTGATGCTAGCACAAAGCTACCAAGGGTGCCAAACAACTGGCAGGGACGGGTCGAACCCCCACCCGTGGCACCCGAAGATGTTGCAAAATGCCACCCGTGGCACCCGATCTCCTAACACCCGCTCCCCCTAGGTACAAACATCAAGCGGAGCCCCTGCGAGGCCAGCTTTTGGGACCTGCATCAAGAACCGCTTCTTTTCGTAGCTAAAGCAAACCAAAGCCCGGATAGGAATCTTCGCTGAGGTTCACAGCATGCAGCTGGGCAAGATGACCTCCTTTACAATGTGTGGCCAAGTTCAACTAGCCCAGTCAAAGTGTATGAACCCAACCGTTCCCCCAATCCAAAGTCGGAATAGACTGCCGCGAACAGGCCACGCGAACCTGTTGCATTTTCCCTGGGCCATCAAGCACTGCAACAGGCACTGTCTTTCGCCATGTTCCGTCTGGTTTTCAAAAGGTGCGCAACCTTTGGGTTTCCCTTGTACAGGCAAATGACAGACATCGCTGTGGTACTTGCCCGTGCTCCTTTCATTGAATCCTGTCGGCCTGCTGGAATCACATACGCCCTAATCACCATTGCACGCTCCATTCAAGGGTTGGACGATCACACAAAGGCCTTTTTGAGTGCCCAAGCTGCTCAGGGCAAGGAAATGATCTGCAAAACTAGGGAACTGCAATCACTGGGCTGACTCATAACAGCATCAGGTTGCAAGCGAGAGATCTGCCTTCTAGGCCGCTCACAGCTGCACCTCCTTTTTCAAATGATTCGTCAAAACATAACTACAACAAGGAGGCTGCCATAGAACATATGGGTCTTCAAAATTTGATTTCCAGAAACAAATATTTGGAGGAAGGGCCATTGGTAGATGAGTTGCGCTTTGGGCATGGACTGGCTTTGAAGGCGCCACGAAATGACAACTGCACTCCATTCCGGGTTGTGTCAAATTGGGCTTTTGCCTTTGGTTTCAATCACGATACACTTTCAAATAATCCCCTGCAAGTCCCAAACCCAATCCCCCCCCAAACCCTCACACTCAGCCAGACCAGAATTTGTTCAGTGACCCTGGAGAAAAAAAGGGAACCCTTTTTGGGGAAGACCATTTTTAGTGGGGCAGCCACCAACCAAAACGGAAAAAGGGTGCCACTGAACAACTGAGGAAAGGAGTTCTAATCGCTTGGGTGTCAAGGGAGTTACAGCTCAGACCCGTCCTCACAGTGTCGGCAACTGCCTTCGCGGCCAAAATGTTGGTAAGCCGCACGTCCTGCCTTGGAGCACCGATCAAATGACTGAGCGCCTCATACTTTTGGGCTGTACTCTTCGTACGGGAAGCTACCCATGTTTAGGGGATGATGGGCAAAATATTGGTCCATTACAAAACAGCAGGGCAACCGGGCCTAAATTGAGCAACCAGGGCAACCGAGGTGCAAATCAGCCTTATGGCGGGATGGTTTAGAGAAGCCAATGGAAGGTTGCCCTTCATGGCACTTAGTCTACTAGTCACTGATACGGTAGGCTGTAGCCATGGTTCCGGATATATGGACCCATCCCTCCAACCTAACTGGGAACCGGCCGGGTGCCTGGAAAAGCAGATGGAACAGTCTGAGACCTTGCAGAAACCAACCAGCGCCTTGACTGAAACGGGCGACAAGTGAGGGTTTCTAGCGGGAAGTCCGGGAAGTCCGGAACTCCTGAGAAATGTGCAGAATTCTAATATTATCAACATATATATATATACATATGGGTATGGGTCAAAACTAAACCACTTGGGGACCGCAGGTTTTAGTCCATGTTTCCTCTTACCAGGGTTCCATTTTGGGTACCTATTTTTGGCCCACAGCCATATAATATGTTTGTCACGGAAGGTAGGGCTGCCACATACGCCACAAACAAGATTGCTTGTTCTCCAAGAGGACAGGTAAAGATTGGCCGGGCCCACGATTTTCATCTGTGAGCGTGGCGGGTTTTTGTGCGATGGGCCCTTGGTGTGGGTCAAGGTTTCCTTCTTCACCTAAGTTGTCTAAAGCACTGGCAAAGACACCCCTCAAACATGTCACTTTGCCCAAATGGCCCTCAAATCACTACATGACCTTCCAACAAGGCTACAGTCCAGCGATTGGGGCAATGAGCTTGAGAAAACCCGCTCACAGTGTGGATCCAATGCCGATGGTAAGCTCACATTCATGACAACCAAAGTCTACCTGTTCAGCCAAAAAAGTTGGCTCCCCTTGAACGGAACACAGCCTAAACCACTGGTGGCAGTACGAAGCAGCTTGATCGCGTATCTCTGAGGGGGTATCATTCTGGGTGAATTATAATATTTCACCAGCCTGAAATAAGGTGATTGGGGGGCTATTCCCTACATAAGCCACCATTTGGGGTGAGGTCGTGTGAGGTCGTTATAACTCACCCAGGTATCATTGATTTTACTTTCACCCCACCCTGTTTGGGCCGTGTCCAACCCAGCCAAGCCAGTGGCCCCTTCTCATCGTTGATCTGCGGCGAGCGGATGATGGCCATGCGTGCGCTCAAGCAGCCAGGGCTGTGAGCTTCATGAACAAGCGCATGACGTGCACGTGTACGAATCCTCATTTGGCTGTGGGTCAAAAAAGGGAACCCCAACTGGAACCCTGGTAAGTGCAAACATGGACCAAAACCTGCGGTCCCTTGGTGGTTCAATTTTGACCCATACCCATTTGTTTGGAGTGCTAGGTGGTAAAATGGTTGGAAGGGCGCTCAAGCACGTGGAAGCCGACTGCTGCGCTAGCGAAACATGAAAGCCGATGAGCTCTTACCTGGCGGAACACCAATACATTGACCAGCGTGGGATAATTCCAAACAACCTACAGCCGCGACATCCATCGCAGCAGCCTTTTCTGCGGGGCAGCTAACTGAGTTGCCCTCCTGAGAAGGTGGTCTATATAACCTTTTGTTGAACGGAAAGCTATCTGTTCCCCAACGGTCCAAAACGGGGCGATTCAGTCTCACCCTTGAGACCAGCCATGTGGCATGCCCATGTGACACAAGTACAGACAGCAGGAGCTTGATCGCAGTTTGATCGCCAGGCTGCTTCTTGCCCACCCCTGCACGCCCTGATTTGAGATTGCTTAACCCCTTCTCATCTAATCAGCTCATGTGCCACACCTAAAATATGTATCTTGCCCAACTGAACATATTATCCTATCTACAAATTTAGTTTGGTCCCTTGGGCTTGTCCAACCCCGGAACCCGACTAGGGCTCAGTACAGTGTCCACATGCATGGCGCCCAAATATCGGGAGCTGACTCTGTATCTTTGAGTTCCTTTGAGGCGGATTTCTTGGAATGGTGGGCCGGAACGCGTGCACTGTGGATGGACAACAACTTGCACCATCTAAGAAACCCCTGGAGTGATGATTCCCCTGTAAATGATGGTGCAGGATTTCGTGCATCCGCGGTAGGACCTCCCTCATGTGAGTGGATGCTATGCGAGGCATAGTTGTTTTTCTTTCAGCCTACACTGTGATTCAACCTACCCATATTGCAGAAGGCTTGGGGATCCACCAATCAACAACTAGAAGGGACATTGCAGGTTGTACTTCAAGCAAAACTAAGAGTTGCTTTGTTAGTAAGCAGAGACCTGGGCATTGCAAACCGCCTCAGGTTGTCCTTTGCTTGCTCCTGAAACATCCTTTTCGCTTGCCTTTGGTTCCATTCGCCTCCAACAAAAACAAAACCGGCGAGCGTCGTCTCGGGTTCCCGCCTTCTGTCTGCTGCCTTTTCCCGCCATCGTGGGTCGTTTGCCCTTTGTGTTTTCGACTGGCGAGCTGCGGAAGACCGGAGGCATGCAGAGCAGAAGCCGGAGGCGTGCCATGGAAGGGGCTGTCGCAACATTGATTTTTACCCCCCCCCAAGCCTCCATTTGCATAAGTCCCGTGGAAAAATAAAAATGCTTCCAGTAGTAATAGATTCCCTTTAAAACCAACAGGGCAACATAACCACATTCTTAACCAAATGGAAGCAAGTCATTTGCGTCCTTGCTTTTCTCTGCACCAGAACTATCAAGCGGATGGCTCCCTTACATTCAGGGGTTTGCCACAAGACGCGTACTGCCCTGCTCGGGATCCACGGGATCCAGTCTGATCGAACGCCAACGAGGCAACTCGAAAGGGAGCCGTCTTCTCACGCGCTACCAACAGCACAAAAAGATCAGATATACGCCCAAAAACCCCTAGCGACCGGCATTGTCAGGCTTGGCTGCATCCTTGAATCCACGCTCTTTCTCCCCAAAAGCCTGGAAGTGCGGTCGCCTGCGTCACACCGTCCTAATTTTGTGAGGCCTGCACATATTGCAAGCTTAATTATTCCCTTCACAACTTGAGCATGGAACCCAAAAGGCGCGCCAAAAGTAATCATCCACACATCGTTTCTTGGTTCCACGTACAGGAGAGCACTGAAAACCCAACGGGGCCCATCGGCTCAGACACTAATACCCACCAATGCTTCTGTTGGGGCGCCGTTCCGCCCCCTTGGAGTTCCATCCCACGTTCGTGCCGTCTGGGTGACAAGACTGGGACATGGCGCCCGCCAAATCTGGGGCCGGGACCACATCTGAGGCCTCTGCAAGGCGCCTCAGCTGGGAGGAGCCTTTGAGGAAGAGGACCCATTTGCGCTGCACCACTTTGAAACCACGCAAATCCATTGTTTGTTGATATTTACAGGGGTTTCATCAGTCCGGGTTTCTTAGGTGGTGCAGGATTTCGTCTATCCACAGTATGCACCTGTGGGAAGGTACTTGAATGGTGCGAAACCTGAAATTGGTCCCAGAACAGACTCTCTGGAGCGTAAGATGATCCAAGTACAGTGTGTTACAGAAGTCCCCCAGCACGGTTGCAGGGGAACCAACACGAGGATCATTGAACCTCCTTCCTAGTAGCGGCAAAATCCATCCTGAGCTGAAAAAAAATACATGGCGAGCGGACTTGCTTCCATCAACTAACTGGGTGCACCGGACCACGAACGGCCTCTGAAGAAAAATCAAGCAATTTTGACATGAGGTAGCGGATCCAGGAACCCAGGCAAGGATCCTGTATGGCACATGCAGGTATGAAACAACACATCAGCAAAATCAAAGGCACCTCCAAGAAACCAAGCATGTTCGGTAAGATGTTTGTGCTCCCACGGCTTGCGAGTGCTCACCAGGCAATGTTGAAGTTCCCCAGTACAGTGCAAGCACTGTAGAAGAAATAATTGCATAAGAAATTGAGGGGCTGAGATTCCCAAATCAAGCAGGTTGCAACTGCATTTGTTGCTAAGAAATTGAGCCCCCCTGGATTTTTCGGCTAATTTCTTAGCCAACTTGTTGCTTGCGCGAGGAATAAAACCACCTCCGCACGGCAAGAATTGAACCAATGATTCCTGGTTTCTGAGGTGCGGGTGTGGCACCCAAATTAGCTGGGCCTTGGATTTCTTAGCGGCCTTTTCGGGTGATGAAGGGCTCCTTTGCTAAGAAATTCAGGCATTCATTCCCCAAAAAAAAGATAAGGTTAAGACATTTGCTAAGAAATCCAGCCCCCCCTACCTCCAGACGGGTAGAAACCAGCTCTTTTAAAGACGCAATGGACGCTAAGAAATTTAGCCCCCCTGGGCCTTGACAAACCGATTTCTTATACAGCGCTCGCACTGTATGTCTTGAAGTGGGTAAGTCTTCTCTGCACTTCTTCCATCCGCAGAAATGGTTCTGCAAAGTGTCAACCCACATGAGGTTTGTTAACAGCCCCTGATGCGAAATATGGTAATGGATCCCGAACAAGGCTTGCGTTGGGACGATCCCCAATAAGCCTACTAACTATAACTCTATAGAAGGGTTCAAAAGACGTCAGCAGGAAACGGGTGATTTCGACAATCTCCTCATGCACCCAGCTGTGCGATCACCACACATACGTGCGGGACACATGTGCACCCGCGCTGTGGTCCAGTTAAAACGGGCATGAAACAATAGGCACCTTTGGGGCGTTGCCTAATTTGACAGGCGAAACCTTCCCAAACCCAAGTTGAAAACGGTTGGAACCTAGACGACCGGTTCAAACGGGTCACGTCCCGCCTGCAGAGATCTCTGCCGCTGGGGAGGGTGGCATCCACTGCAAGCGAGCGCTTGCCCTGGTTGCAGCCTTAGACGGCATCAACAGCATATATATATATAGGTGTGTATATGTATATATGTCTACATCTATACATTACATACACATGTGTATATATATAGATATATATACATATGTACCCTCACCTGGCAACACCGGATTGCGATCACCTACAAAAAGCAACTGTTTTCACCATGTTGCTCACCCAAGAACAAATGCCCATAGCCTATAGCCTATAGCCTATAGGAGAAAGACATCTTTTGCCAGCAGCAGTTCTGCCCATGTTCGCGGATGAAGTCTCTCAGGACCAAACCCGCCCGGTTTTGGCGGAACCCGCATGCACGGCGATGACTCATGACCCTTGGACAGGAAGGAAACCAGGAGCACTAAGAAGGTAAGAAGAAACGAGGCTTCAGTCCGCACGAATGAAACGAGCACAAACCGTCTGGTGGCAGAGCTGATGCGGAAACCCGGCGCCCAAAAATCTGCATGGTTTGCCCATGGCACATGTCAGAGATTGAACATGGCACATGTCAGAGACCTGAAACGATCTGAGATGCAGCTCATGCAAGTGGAATTGTCCCCAGCTTCTTGAAAGAACCAGAATCCGCAGGGTTCGTGTACTTCTCGAATTGTACAGGCCGCTTCAAAATCCCCTTAATTATCATAGAAACCATCCCTCAACCTGGGATTCCCATGCCTTTGAGGGGATGGCCGAGAAAAGATCATGGAAGTGTACCAAGCCCAAGGGGCAAGCAAAGTAGCTGGAGGTGTCCCCATCATTGCGTAATCGCCAGCCACGGGTAACGTCGCCACCTGTCCTGGGCAAGCTTTGAAGGGACGTATTTGGGTCTGAAGGTTATCTCGGTTAAAGGGCAAAATCCCCCATGGCTTGGAGTCTGGCCCCTCTACTCAGACGTCGACCCCAAACACCCGTCAGAACTGGCACATTTGTCCTGACGCGCGATGCTGCATTTTGGTACAGATGTGGGTGTCCCTATGATTGATGAAGGAAACAAAGCTCAACTGCACGCCAACATGAGACCCGAACACAGCCAATTGTCAGTGCATCACCTGTGCCCTCCTTGGATGCTGTTCAAAAGGCAAGTGACCGATGGGTGTGTGTCAGAACGTCAAGTTTCGGGGGTGGGGAGGGCAAAATAAGGCGGTTGTGCTTTTGGTTTTCCTCGAAACCACCCAACCAATTTCACCCTCCAAACCACCCACCATGCACACTCGCAGCTTCGCCCAGGCTCCTGCTCCCATGTATTGCTGTCTCGCGGTTTAGGAAGCTGTCCAGAGCTCGTGTGGGTTTGTCCCAACATCCCGTGTACGTGGCTGTGGCGGGAAAACCACAAGGAACGCCATGTTTGGATCCATACTTCTCAGAAACCCCCATTTGGTTGCTTGAAAGCCAGTGAAACATGCAGCACATGTCAAACAAAAACGTCTCAAAACGGCCTTTTTCACATTCTGCCCCCCGACCACTGGGGCCCCTGCTTCAGATTCTCCACCTGGGGCGGCTGAGGTCTGTTTTTTGCATAGCCCTGGCATTAGCCTAACCCTGGCACAGCCTGGCGTGCATGAAAGGAGACACTAACAGATAAAGGTTTGGGGTGGGTTTAGGGTAGTTCGTTTAGGGTAGGTTAAGGCCCGGCATCGTTTTAGCATCCTCAGCATTGTTTTCATCCTCAGCATCACCAGGCTTTGGTTGGCTGGATTTAGGGTGGGTTCCAGGTTGGCTCAGGCTTGCCTCCGGATGGGTCCAGGTGGGCTTAAACACAACCACGACCGAAGCCAATTCAATTTTAAACCCACCCTAAACCAGCCCTAAACCTATCCGAGACCAACCCCAAGAAGCCCCACCATAAACCAGCACCAAACCATCCACCTCAAGCACAGCCACCCCCAAAATTTGCTCTCAATAATCGGAGCCAAGCCTGAGCCAACCTGGAACCCACCCTAAACCCAGCCAACCAAAGCCTGGTGATGCTGAGGATGTTGAAAACAATGCTGAGGATGCTTTAACGATGCCGGGCCTTTACCTACCCTAAACGGACCACCCCAAACCTACCCTAAACCTACCCTGAACCCATTCCAAACCTTCGTCCTACCGAGGCGCCAACCAACCAACCAACCAACCAACCAACCAACCAACCAACCACCTACCAGGGTTAGCCCTGTGCCAGGGCTAGGCAAAAAAACACCCTTTCCCACCTGGGGCTGCGCGAAAAAAAACCCTTCAAACATGTGCAATGTTCAGAGGCTATCGTCCAGCTGTCAGTTTGAAACCATCCAGTGGGCTCTCCAGTAGCAACACGTATAACACAACCATTCTGAACTGCAGAGCTACTTGCGTGCAAGGTGAGTCACCAATGGTTTGACGGATGGCGTACAAAAATAGAGTCACACTAACGAGTTCTTCTGGCAACTGGGATTGTCTCTCTCGTCTTGATACTCTTTCAGGTCCACAGGTGGGGTCGCCATGCACATGCTTCAAAAGGCTGAAGACAACGATTCCGAATCCAGCAGTCACATGAGCAGCGCCTGCCACTTATGAACGTTCAGTCTGCCAGGATCCGTGCATGCCGCTGTCCGCGATGTACTTCCGAACAGGTTTCGCCGTGTACGCGCCCGCTTCGGTAGTGTTGACTGCCGAGTTCGTGGCAGGCAGTTTCTGCAAGATGCGCGCGTAGTGCACCGCTGTTCCCCATCTCATACCTCCGTTTAATCAACAATTTCTGACGAACATCGCTCAGGGATGAATATATCTCATCTCCATCTGGGTTTGTTTCCAAGTGGGGGAACCAACAACATGGATGGTTTGCACTTGGTCTCCGTTCAAAGCAGCCCAAGCAAAGGGTGCTGGCTAAGCAAACCGCACACATTTCTCTTTACACTCCTCTTCGTCAAATTCTTTATCTGTAAACCTTCAACAATCACAGCTTGACCCTGCCAGCAATGTTACACCCCCCATGAAGCCTCATGCACTAAATAACCCCAGACCCTAAATGAAGCTAAGCTGATTCTCACTCCCTGATCTTTGTTCATTCCACTCAAAAAATGATTCCAATTCCATCAGATACCAAAATTATTGAGTGATTCCCTTCATCAAATTCTTTAATCTGGAAGCCTTCAACAATCACAACTTGACCCTGCCAGCAAGGCTACCCACCATGAAGCCTCATGCACTAAATAACTCCTGACCCTAAATAAAGCTAAGCTGATTCCCACTGATCCAACAATTGCTCTGATCCCGTATCTTTATTCAGGAGCAAGCTGTCCATTCAAGCTGGCTCATCAAAAATAATTCCAATTCCATCAGATACCAAAATTATTGAGTGATTCCCTTCATCAAATTCTTTAATCTGGAAGCCTTCAACAATCACAGCTTGACCCTGCCAGCAATGTTACCCCCCATGAAGCCTCATGCACTAAATAACTCCTGACCCTAAAGAAAGCTAAGCTGATTCCCATTGATGCAAAAGTTCTTGGCCCAATACTACTTTAGAATTGGCCCAATTCTAAACTAGTATTCCCCCCAAAACAAAATAAGAAAAAACAACATGCCCAATACTACTTTAGAATTGGCCCAATTCTAAAGTAGTATTCGAAAACCCCAAAAAACAGCGCCCAATATTAAACACCTTCTATACTTTTCCTGACCCTGACTTTTGTCCCCTTAACTTTATGTAGGGTCATTCAGGGGGGCCTATTTGTTAATCAGAGTCGGACATTAATGAGCAACACATCTGCCATGGTCCAAAATGCCTCACGTGGTTCATGGTCAGGGCTCCCTAAATTGGACATCTTGTAATGTCAGGAGACGATTAGTAAACCCCCCCCGATTAAAGGTTCCCCCTTTTCCCCCCCAGATTCTCATCAATACTAAAGTAAAGTGCCAACAAGGTTTACCCAAAAAATCCCTACCCAATTATTTTGGGCCCTCCCCAAAACCCCCCCTGATTAAAGGTATCCCTCTGTAGCCCCCAGCCAACAAAAACCTGCCAGACAAGGTGCTTTCCTTCTTGCTTCGTATTTGCTTAGTCTGTGCTTAAACCCACCAATACTAAGTCACTATTGAACCCCTCAAGTTTTTCCCAAAAATGTGCTTCCCCCGAAATGCATTCTTCTTTATTAACATTTGTTTAAAATGACAAGGTGTTTAAGCTCACAAAGGGGACCCCCCTTGGAGGCCAGTCCCCCCTCATTAACAGGAAACCCCCCGCGATTAATCAGGGCCCTTTTGGGCTCAAAACTAAAAAAATGTGCTGTTGCCTTTTAAAGTCCTACTGCCCCGAAGGGACCAGAAGTAAGAGGACGAGGACCGAAGGGGCTCCAGAGTAATCAGGGGGGTCCTCCCAAAAATCTCAATTTTTGGGACTTGTCCAAACCTTGTCGACCTTGAAGGGGGGGGGAGGGGGGGGTTTACTAATCAGTTGTCACCATTAGCGCTTGTCTACACTCCCTGTTAATGAGTTCATGATCATCCCTGTTAACCCCATGCAAGTACACATAACTTATCATAACTTAATAATGTTTGCCCGCGCAGAAGGCACCTTTAGGTTGGCAAAATACACTTCTTGACCGTTTGTCAGGTGCCATGTGAGACGGCTTGGTCCTTTTATGAAGGCCCAAAAAAATGTGGAAAAAATCAAAGGACACTTGGCAGCCTGTTGCCTGTTGCCTTTGAACAGTGACAGCAGCCGACAATGACAGCCATTTTCTTCACAGCCTTCGCCTGATAATGGAAACCTTGTTTCTGCAAAGCCGGGCCGGAGAAAAGCTTTGACATGTGACATGTGAGCTCATGTAGAAACTGACAACGTGACCTCAACTCTGACCCGCATCCAGTGAGACAGCCATCTGCTCAGAAATCGTCACCTGGCACGGGGCGCATGAAGTCTGACCAAACTCGCATTCCGAAGTGCAGCAATGAGGGAAACTCCAAATGCCAAGCCAAGTCATCCGCTCCATTTTTTCAACCACCACCAACTCCAATCGGGCAATGAGCACTAGCTGCACTGCCATGCCAGCCACGTATCTGAGGTTTCCGAAATGGAACGATCCGAGATGTTTTTGCTACGTCGTGATGTGAAATGTGTGTGTGTGCGTCTCAAGGTCATGTCTCAAGTTGTTGCCCGGTGCGTTCTTTCGGCAACCCTTTCACCTTTCACATTGCTTTCAATGTGGCCCCTCGTGGCAGGCACAGCAAGCAAACGTGCCTCAGCCAACTTTGAGAAAACTCTTTGCTGGCAGCTCTTTCACACACTTGGTGAACGCCAGCCACAAAACAGCATTGTTGCTGGGCCGAAGGGCAAAGTGATCTCCCCCAGCCGCTGCCTCCTGTGCCTCGGTTGCCATCGCCGCCGCCACGCCGGCAGCATCTGCGTGCAGAACCTGCACCACCTCCACAAATCCCGCCACAGCCAACGACGAGACCGGAGTCGGGACGCTCTCAGCCGCCAGCTTCGGCAGGAGCACCATGCCGGCCTGGCAAAAAGTTGCATTGCTTACTATTACTTGAGGGCTCAAAAAGTTGCCAAACCAGTCTCCTCCAAAAAGCTCAACGCATCTCAACGCCAAAGCCACATCAACATGTTATATACTATATAAAGGTCAAGGCGCTGAGTCCTTCGTGAGCGGCATCTCCGGCGCAGTGGCCATGCTGCACATGGGGGCGAGAGTGCTGAAGCTGGCACTCCTGGCGGCTGCCACCACCGTGCGATGATTCCACAGCAGAAAGTCTGGCCGCAGGGTGGCGCTCACGTTGATGCCAAGGTCTTTGAAGATCTGCATCAACGTCTTGCAGCGGAAGCCTGATGTGCCGGGCTTCTCAAACGCCACCTTGCAGGTTGAAGCCGCTGCAGAGGTGACCTCCCACTTCCTCAGTTGCCCAAAGCCCAAAAGGAGCCATGATTGGGTAACCTTTTTGGGGCCATGCGACAGTGATGTGATTGGAGACCAAAGGGACAACAAAAGGTTAAAGGTTGACTTCGTGCAAGCGAGCTTCAGGGCGCGATGGCCTTCCACGCTTGGCGAGCCTCCCTCGAGCTTCATGCAGCCGAACCCAAAGAGCTCAGCACCCGCCTCGATCTTGATCACCTTGTCAGTCGGGTTCTCCAACCAAAGCTGGGGCTGGGCGCCCTCCACACTGCGGTCCTTGGCCCACACAAGGGCATGTCCACGCGGCTGCTGGCACCGCTCTTGCGTCACAAACTTCTGGCCAAAAGCTTCAGCAGTCAACTCATTGTCAGGGGCACTGGGCGGCTGCTCCTCCGAGCTTGCAATCATTGCTCCCCAACTCTCAGCAAACTTCTCGGCCTTCTGCTTCTCCTCCTTGACTTTCTCCACCTGCAGGGGCAAAAGCGGTCGAGGCGAAGGATTCCAACTGCCTGGCAATCAAGGGGGGCCGCTCCAAATGACTCCCAAACTCAAGACTCAAGATGGGGGGGACCCAATGATGCCGGGTTTCAGGCTTCAGGAACCATGGAATTCAATGGAAAAATACGTGCCAGTATCTATTTACTTGCATCAAAGGCCACCATATGTTAACAACGCGGGTTCCAGTTTTGATGCCCGGCCCCAAGCCTCCTCAAGCACATCCGGGATCTGCTTCAGGATCAGCTTGCCACACTCCGAAAGGGTGCACCGCTTCAGCTGCAACCTGGTCTCCTCAAGCAGGACCTGGGCCTGTTCATTGGATGGCTCTTTTCCCTGCCACTCCGGAGGGGACTCCTTGGTTGGCGTTGATGTTGACCTGCAAAAAGTTCAGCTTGTTGAGGTTCACTGGAAAAAACAATCCGAGTCAAAAAGTCCAAGTCAAAATATCAAATCCGATAGCAATCAAGACTCCGGCAGTCTGTTCAAACCACTGATCTGCAAGCTGCCTTCGCGAAGCGCGTTCGCCACCGTCTGAATGGCATAGATGCGGCTCACCGCAATCGCGTGCTCCCGCGTGTCCGCCATGAAGAAGGTGACACGTGGAAGGTGCAGCCCACGTCGATGTCGGCTGATGACAGCCTTCATGGCACCCGAGGCCCAGTCTGGGCTGACAAAAAGCACGCAAATCCGCACCCATCTGATCTCCGGGGGCAGGGACTCCAGGATGCTGGCGAACAATGCCTCCACAGCCCTCTCGCCAAGCTGCACCCGTTGTGTCTCATTCGCTTTTTGCTGCGGGACGCGCTCGCACACCTGGTTCGCTCTTGCAGTCGCCGCTGCGGCTGGCCACACACGTATGCAGTACGGAGTTGCCGGCACATCCTGCAGCCCACCCTTCAAAAGGACGCTCTTCTCCCAGTAGTTGTGCTTATCTTCCATCACCGGGATCGCCACCTGCAGCTCGCGCGTCGTGCGACCATGCAGCAGGTTGTCGCACTGGCAAACAAACCCCATCATGCAGTGCTTCTTCGGCACCATGAGCGAGTCTTCCAGAAGTCGCCTGACCTCCCGCTCATTCCCACACAGCATTTGCCTCTTCTCCATCGCGGTCAAGCAGACCTCAGCAGCCGTCCCCACCATGGGCAGGCCGCCCTCCTCTTCCTCCTCTTCATCTTCCTCCTCATCATCATCCTCCGTCAAAGGCTTGGCCTCCCCTGACGCGCCCCGCTTTGCCCGGCGGTGCCTCCTTGCGCACAAAACCGGCATCGTGACCAGCTTCACCGAGTCCTGATGTCAATCGTTGTTGAAACACACCAATAATCTCAGACCCTCCAACGCCGACTAGAACCAAAGCTCAAGCCTCAAGCCATGCAACACTCGTCGTTGCCTCGTTGCCTTTGTTGAGCATCAACGTCAACAGCAACATCAAAAAAAACTGAGTGCCCCTGTAAAGCCCGAAGCCAAGCGTCTGGGAAGACCAATGAAGTCTCAATGCCAACATCCAGCGAAGACTTCTTCGCTGCCCCCAGCGAGCGGAGGTCCAAGACAAAGAGCTTGGCCACGGCCGAGGCGCTTTCGCCTTCTTGCCCAGCCCGCTCCCGGAAGAAAGCATCAGACTGAGCAAGGACGTCTTGGGCCACCGATTGCACCCTGTCCTTCCGCTGACTTTCCACTGACACAACATGTGCACTCATAGTCATAGATTCCCCTCACAAAAAAAACATAACCAGAGCGAGCGGGGGGGACAAGGGACAAGGGAAACTAAGAAATATATTCTTGAGCAATGGAAGCTGTCCTTAGCCGCTTTGATCTGGCAGATCTTGGCAAACTTTGAGCAGTAGTCCGTAGCTGCCGCCCAGTCCACCTTATGCTTCTTCTTCTCGTGGGAGACCTTGTCAGCTTCCCAGCGCGCCCTTTTGTCTGCATGCCCTTCTCGCAAACGCTCGTAGATGCGCATGTCCTGGCTGAGGTCAACTGCGAAGCTCTCCACAGCTATCTGCTTCTGTTTCTCCTGTAGCTCTGACATCTGAGCACCGTCAGACCCGACCATGCAAACATCAGAGGTGGAATCGCCAGCCGCGGCTTGAGCAAGCACCTGCTTGATGCTGGGGAACTTGTCTGCTGCCCACCCTGCAAACTGGCTCATCTGAAAGCCCTCGCTTGCCTCTGATGAAAATTCGGCCAGCGCCGCGTCGAAAAAAAAATCGAACTTGTTCTCAAAGACCGCCACCCGCAGCCACTCCTGCACCTTCTCCGGCGCTACCTTGGCCGGCACCAGCACCTTATTCGCAATGTGCGTCGCAAGGCAGATCTTGGTCAAGGTCTTCTCGCAAACATCTGGCCGGACGGCCTCTTGCCCATGTTGCGCCTGCGCGTGGAGCCACTCCACGAACTTGTCCTGGCATTCATCTGTGGTGACCAACACCTTCTTGAGCTCTGGGTGCGAAGTCTTCAAGCAGTAGCGGCCGCAGTAGAGCCCCTAGTCGGGACCGGGAGGTGGGCAAAAAGATCAATCCAATTGGCAAGAACAACCAAACCTATCTGTCAATTCTTTCACGGTCCCAATCAGTTATGTGGCAGTCGCATTCCAACTGCTAATTGCCTTGCTCATACTCAATTTCAACCCGAACATTATCAAGCTATCCCGGTCCCAACACCTATGTCGCATCGGATCGTAGCAGTCAAGGTTCACACAAGAACATCAACACACTTTCTCCGCAACAGCAATCGAAACCTGCGAACCCAAACAGGCCAGGCCTGCAAGTCAAAAATCTGGTTGCTCCACCCGCAGCCCGGCCGGTTCCAGCCATGCATCCCGATGTGCTGCAGAATCCGCTGGCGAGTTGCCACCCGCATCTCCGCTATGCTCTGCAGGCGCAGCTCTGCCTTGCCGTGGATCTGAAGCTCCTTCCAGGGCTCAAGCTCAACACTCATCAGTGACCTGGCAAGCCTGGCCCGTGCAAAAAAAAACTGACTGGCGTTGAAACAAGTCTTTTCAAATACTGACTCTGTCCCTGTCTGTCCTTCTGGGCAAAAAACTTTGCATTGAACGTCGAGATGATGGTCCTCAGCGTGGCAGGCGTGGCGTTCTCTTTGCCGATCAACAGCAAGCAGCTCTCCGCCAAAAGCGCGGTTCACCTTCGAAGCCATCGCGGTCTCGCCTCAGATCAGAGCGGAGAGTGTCATGGCTGAGTGCTAAACAAATGATTAGCTGTTGGAGTCGATTGCATTCACCACGTGGACACATCCAAGCAAAACAATCGGTGGGAGCCTTTTTGAACGTGGCTGAGGGCATCAACTCTGGCTATCATCCGCCGGAAACAACTGGCTCATCTGCGTGTCAGGCGTGTCACACTCAACAATGTTCATCATGTCACGTTCACCTGTCCACCCGCAATTTTGTGGGTGGTTCACCAGGATGTCATCCGCAAGTGGGTGGCAAGGGCACTGGCAGCACCCTGGCGCTGGCACTGGGCGCATCACAGAATCACACTGAGAACACCTCAATGTTCGCGTAGCTGAATCTTTGAACATGAAGATGTCGTTGCACCAAACCACCTGCGCGACAAAGTCGCACCTGTACACGTTCCCAGCAATGGTCTTTTGCCGGATGTCCGCTGATGGCGGTGGAGGCTGGCTGGCAGCGCTAGGCTGGCTGATCGTGACCGCGCAGGGCTGGGCAAATGGCAAAGAAAGCTCGTTGTCCCCAACATCAGTCTCCACACATGTATCGTTGCCGGCGCGTTGTGAATCCATGTTGCCGATCTCGGCAACGGCTTGCTCGCTCAGTGACTGAAGTGATTCTGAATCTGACACGCAGGCAGAGGCTTGCTCAGCCTGCTCACACTCACACGGCTCACAGTCACACTGTGAGTCTGAGTCTGGCAAGGTGGCGGTGATGTCAGCACAAGAGGATTGCTCAAACTGTGACTCTGCCAGGGTTCCTGCAAGAGCCACAGCTTCCCCATGTGAATCTGACAGAGCGGCAATCAAATCAGCGGCCTGCTGCCACTCTGACAACATGGCTTGAAACATCAACCTGGAGCCAAAACCTGGTCATCAATCATCAAACATCATCAAACTTGTCAAACAACCCGCCCTCCGCCAATGCAACCGAGTGGCTGAAGATCGCTGAGACCCGCCCGCAATTGCTCTTGTCGGCAGTCGCCTTCCCCTGCGACTTCCTCGCCAGAGCGGTCAAGTTGACCCTGATTGCCGAGAGCGTCGCAATCACTTCCTCAGTTGCCCAAAGAACCATGACTGAATCCGTGTCGACTTGACTGACTAAAAAATGAACAAAAAAAAGGAACCCGACGACATGTCATGTCAAAAGGCCAGAATTGGACAACTGAGCTTCAACAGGCAGCTCCCCGCCAGGATACATCAGAGCACACAGCATCACACAGCCCATGGCAGCCAGCGTGGTGCCGTTCAGGTACGCCCCGTCAGCCCCGAAAAAAAACACGGCCCCCGCCGTCAAATCGCAGGCCAGCGGAAAAACGTCCAGCACCCCGGACCACTCACCGCCTGCCACCTTCATGATCACCATCTCAACGTCACCGCGAAAAGGCGCCAAAGGAAAGGATGCCCGCACGAAGGGGTTGAGAAACGCCACATGCGCTGTGCCCCTCCGAGGAAGCGAGGAGAGGTTCTGCAGCCCCCCGCATAGCAAATGCCTGGCAACCAACTTTGCAAGCGACCCTGAAACTCGAAGCACAAGCCGAGGAAAGCCATCACGTTCCAATCTGCTTCAGTGTTGCACACAACAGTGTTACAACTATAACTACACTGAACAGTAAAAGTAAAATGTACTTGGGCTTTTGTCCAATTTTTGACACCATGTCCTTCACCCTTCGCGTAGGGGATCACCGCCTTGACCTTCTCGTGCAGCTCGCCGTGCTTCTTCGCGAAGCCATGCAAAAACTCCCACACGGGCACGTCCAGCGGCCACTCTTCTGCCAGCCTGAGCAGCGGGCCAAGGTAGAGTGCGAGCCCCAATCAAAGCAAGGAATTAACATGGCCCACCGGCCCCGGTTGGAATCAATTTCATAGTACAGAAAAATGGCGATTTGCGAATGCCATACCTGGAAACAACTTCCTGAACTCGACCGGGCGTTTTGTTTACAATTGAAAACTGGGCCCAATAGAGAACCCCCTGAAATCACTGAAATCTAAATGTGATTTTTTGCATTCAATGCCCAACAGTGTCATTGTCTTCACGTTCAATCAAAACCCGGCAGATCATCAACCTTCAAAAACCTCGCACAAAAACAAACAAACATGTAAAACGTCATTAAAGGATATAAGACCGCGAAACAGAATGCAGAAAGCACAACATTGCTTCAACATGGCATTCTCCAAGCCGCATTTCTATAACATGAGATTTCCCCTCAACAGTTCCGCATGGCGGCATGCATGGCCCGCGAAGAAAATAAGAAACCTCTAAGCTTCCAAACGCTGGCATTTTCACGTGTTTGTGCACCGACGCCCCAAGCAAGACCATAAGCGAAACCCCCAATTCATAGAGAAATGCGTAGGTGGGTTGAGCCCTGAACTTCCTGAACAGGACCAACTGGGGCATGGACGTTTGCTGCACAAAAGCCTTGAACATCCCGACGGCTTTCTCATCCGGAGAGATCGCCATGCCCGCACCGCGAGGCTCCAAAGCCAGTGGGTTGCCGTGTGTTGCCAATTGGTCGCCAATGGGTTGCCAATGGGTTGCCAATGGATTGCCAGGGTTGCCAATGGGCCGGTTAAACTTTGAGAAATGAAAATCAAATACGTCTGCTGCACCCTTAGCCCTCGCCTCTGTGCCAAAACTGCTAGCATTGATGAAGATTCACTCTCCAAATCTGCAAGCATTGGCTCACGCGACCCTGCAAACCAACTCTTACAACTCTCACAACTTGCGGGTCATGTGACTGCATGACATGTATCAAACAGCCCATGATGTCATGAGTAACCCATTGGTCATGAACACACATGAGCAGCTTCCCATGTTGACCAGGCATGCCCCGGTCATGCAAATCAAATCAAACATTCAATCATGGCTGGCGCGCCTGGCCAGCGCTGAGCGGTCGCAATCGCAACCTGGCACACAAAGCATGAGCAAATGAGTGACGGCTGAAAAATCTCAGACAACATGCCACATGCCTGGACACGCCACACGCCATCATGGCCATGCCATGAGCCATGAGCCAGAACCATGAGCAAAGCTTTTTACGCACGCATGCGCCTTTGAGGCGCTTTGCTGACTTTACTGGTCACTGAATTCTGATTCTAACAAATGGGACAAATGGGGTGTTGGATATTGCGCACTCGCTGAGGCTGAGATTCAATGAGCCGCTTGGGCTTCCACTGAAGCAATGCTACCAACCTGGCTGTCTTGAGCGCGTAACTCATACTCAGCCAGAGGAAGGCAAGCTGCCGGTGTCCAAATTCATTCTCGCTAGCCATGAGAGCACATGGGACCAGCTCTCTCCGGGAAGATCGGCTGGAGCGTAAGCCTCAAAGTCATGCTCTGTCGATTTTGATAGATACTCCTGCCGATGGAGTGGCACTGCAAACGATGATGCCGGTCGAGCTGCTGAGGTTTGCATCCATGTGCGAACCCCGACCTGCCAAAGGCCATGACTTTCCTGCTGCTTCCTCAACCGTTGCAACGTGAGAGAAGGTCCAACTCGGTCCTCCTCCTCTGCTTCCTGGAACTCAACTCACCCCTCAAGAATGCAAAGCTAAAGCAAGTTTGAAAACATACCAAGTGAAAAGTCTACAGCCAGCAAAAAGGCACCGAAACCAACCTGAAACAACATAACACACAAAGCTCCACGATGCTCACAAGCCAAGACTCCCTCTTGCGCTGAACCCTTCGCGAAATCCAGAATGTCATCTTCGGGTGCACAGCCCTGTGGTACTGAAGTACCGAGTAAGCAAAACCCACATCGCCCATGCCACCTCGCACACCATTGTATCGAAGCAAGGTCGCGCGAACCAGATGCCCTGTGCTCCAAGCTCGGCCACCGACCTTCTTTCTTTCTAACCAGCGGCAAACGCCACCAACGCCCTCACATGCTGCTGAAGACGACAAGCTCCACATGTACACGGCGTGCCAAAGGCACAAAATGTGCCACAACGAGTGCTGCCGAATCTTTGCAGGCTTTGCCTGAAGAAATGTTTGCAGAAGCCAAGCATCTTGCAGCCCCCAGAACATCTTGGACATGTCTGGCGCCTTTGCATTTACAAGGGCTTTGGCAAATTGCCTCAGGCGAATGTACTGCTGCCACAGATCTGCTTGTGAAGGATTGGAAAACAGCTCATCCGGCGGCTTCTTGTAAGGACAGAACTCTCGTTGCCTTCCCCAACAAAAACGACCAAACACATCACAAAGCACTCTCAAGGATGCCTTCTTCAGGTTAACTTCCAATGGATCAAACAGACTCGCCGGGGAGCAAAGATCCGAAAATTCAAACAAGCGAGCTGCGGAAGCCAGCAACTGCGCTGCTGGGCCAGGGCGCCACTCTGCGCCTTTCGTGTTGCAGCTCTTGTTGGAGAATAAGGTTTCCCACAATTGCGCTTGCTCAAACATCTCTTCACGAATCACAAGCCTTCCATCCGCACGCTTGCTCACCAACATCTGCCATTTCTGCGCCTTCCTGAAACTGCTCACGCTGAAGCGCCCTTGTGTCCTCTGCTTGTCTTGTTGAAGTTGCAGCTTCAAATCCCGAGCGACACACTGCAAGGTCCATGGTCTTGGCGGCCAACTGCGGCAAACAGGGGCAGGCACACCACCAGCATCATCATCGGCGTCGGAATCTTCCTCAGCCGCAGAATCCGCATCTGTGTCGGCCTCGGCAAAAGCATGCACGTCTACGGTTGGTAGGCTAGAGCTCGCAGAAGAGACGCCACCACCAGACATCTGCTCAAGAACATCTTGAAGTGCTTGCGCTGCTGACTCCTGAAGGCAATCTTCTTTGCTGATCTGCTCGCCATCTGTCATGTCTATCAAAGATGTCAAACCATCGGTGTTGTCAGCTGCTGGAAACACATCACGTGTCAGTCCTTTGGCTGTAAGCAGATTGCTTGGCATGTTGGAGCTCCAGCACATGACCCGACACTTGAAAAAATGGATCTCATCCCGCAGCCACTTCCTGAAGCGGGAAAAGACGTTGCTAAGACAAGCAACCATGCGATCGCGGCTCCCCTGTGTCGTCTCATTGTGCCTCTGCAGGACATCATGGGGCTCACAAAATGGGTGGCTTTCTTTGGTCTGAAAACCCACTGGGCAGCCATGGATGGTGCGCTTAAAAAGAAGTTCCAGAACCAAATCCACGGCGGTAGGGAAATCTGCTCTACATGTTTCTGCTGCAAATACTTCCACAAAGGCTTCCCTGGTCGATCGAGCGGGCTGCAAAATGCGTGGTATTCGTGACCCATCCACGAAAGCTGCCAAGCGTTGCCAAATGCCAACAACACCTGTGAGCCCCTGCAGCGCTGCCAACTGAGCCCGAAGTGTCCGTAAGGTTTGCACGCAAAGGCCAAGCCGGGCTGCCCCACTGAGTCTGCGGTTCTGGGCAGCGTACGCGAAGCGAAGAAGCCCTGTCCGTCGACTGTCATAACGCAGCGCTGTGAAAACCAAGCAGCCCGGATCAAGCAAAGCTCTGCCAAGATTCCTCAATCGGCGAACTTCTGAATTGTAGAGGCCGCAGCGATCAGTGACTGTGTGCCTATTCTTCAGAGCCTGTTGTCTGCAAGATTGAATGCAGTCCTGAATCTGAAAAGCAATTGCTCCAACACAAGTCCGAAGATTTGCCAAATAGTTAGGTGGGATTCTGCGGCTTTCGTAAATGATGAGACGAGTCGATTCAGTGTGAGGCGCCATGGGCCGATGCCACTCCAGACCAAATCGCTTGGCAACACTGCGAGCAATGGTTTGCCCCTTTCCATACGCAAAGCGAACCCTCAGGGCGCGCGCTGTCGAGTGAAACTTATGAATGTAACCAGTTCCTGGAGACATCTCCGGCCAATCGGCATGTGACCCAGCGGAGTCAGATGCATGCAACGGGTCCAGGCTGTCCCAGCAGTTGCCTGGCATCACAGACGACCAAGAAGCTCCGTGAATCTTCCCAGCGAAACATTGCCCGTGGTTCGTGCTAAAAGGGCCTGCCAAAAGGCCGTCGCCGACCAGCCCAAGAAACCGCCATCGAAGCTGCTTCCAACCCACACCAAACTTGTACTTCAAGGTGTCCATCCGACTCTTGGTGACCTGCTCAGTGGGCGTCTCTGCGGGTCGCCGCCGAACAGGGGCCATGTCAAGCAAAATGCAGTCGACAGCTCCCTGGCTTGTGGCAGCAACTGCCATCTGCACATCAAGCGGATCGCCAGTGTTGGGAGTGAACCCGTCACACGCAAGCTTCAGAAAGCTCGGAATGCCTAAAGCTGGAAGGACCACCTGCAAATCCTGCGCTGTGCGGTATGTCAGTATATGCTTTGCAGATATCAGAACATCGTGCATCCATCGTCTGCTGTGGTGTTGCTGCCCAAGCTCGCCAGGAAACCATGTGTCCATGTAGTCAATCCAGTGCTCAAACTGTCTTGACCCCACAGCATGCGTCTCTAAGCGCAGAGCCAGGGAGCACAGCCGCAACCCGACTACTGAGTCCTTTGCACCGGTGTCTGCCAAAGAGGAAAGTGGCTGGTAGCCCCCACTTTTGTTCTGCGACACATGAACCTCTTTGACAGTGCTGCTTGATATAGACCCTGTCAAACCCAAAGTGTCAGAAGATGCATCTGCAGCCCTGAATTGATCCTCCACCGTCTGCTGTCCGAACATGTCAGAAATGTCCGCTCTGCTTGGAATTGCACTGGCCTGATCCTCAGCGTTGCCGCTGCCAAGCAGCGGTGACCGGCTGAGAGCCTGGGGCAAAAACATCGAGATGTCTGGGAGCGACACATCGCCTGAAGGCTGCTCGTCTCGCTTCCTCTTCCTTCCACCAAGGTTGATTGGCTGATGGCCAATGCCTCTATTTGCCGTTGTCCGTTGCATGCAAAATGCGATCGCTTGCCTGCTGATGCCAGTGAGCCCGCTCAAAAGGCTGAAGATTCGACGGCGTGAGTCCCACTCAAGAACTTCGCAAATCTCTGCACATTTTGGCTCAAGCACCTTGTACATGTTGAAAAGAATCTCTTGCGTTTGCTTTTGCAACTGCCCACCGCCACCGCGACCTGCTGGGTTGTGCCGGAAGCCGGGCCCCGCGGCAGGAGCTCCAAGCTCAGGCAACGCCGGCAATGCAGGCAAGTCTCCCGCCATCATCAGTCAGTGAAACAGTCATCCATTGCTGC